ACCTGCACCCCAAGGTCCTTACCATTAAATATCTAAGTCCTACCCTGATTTGCCCTGCCAAAATGCAACACTTCACATTTATCTAATTTAAACTCCATCTATCACTCCTCAGCCTATTTGCCCATTTGATCAAGGTCCCATCATACTCTGAGGTAACTTCCTTTGCAGTCCACTACACCACCAATTTTGTTGTCATCTGCAAATTAACTAATCATACCCCTCGTATTCACATCCAAATTATTTACAAATGTTGCTGATTCAGAGATCCAATGACTCTTTACAAATGTGTTTTCTTGATCTTTCCCCTTGACTCAAGAACTCACAACAGAAACTGAATTGCAATTAAATTATAAACTTTTACCTATGAACTTTACCACTTAAACTGTGCAGTAAAATGTACAATTCAGCGTGTGAAAGGTTTCACTGATGAACATCTCCAACCAGAAAGGGCTGATTAATCTTTGCAGATAATTCTCACTAACTTGCACTTTCGTCAAGTTAAGGAACATGGAAAAGAACAGTAAAATTCTTCACAGGCACATCAACAATTAAAAAAAAAACTTTATCAATAAATGTTGATGATGTTTGCAAGTCACAGGGTTCAATCATTTCTGACACAGCAGCAGTAACATTTGGTAAAGATGGAACCAGCAAAGACTGTTTTGAAATCTACTCAAAAGAGATGACAATCAGTCATTGAAACAAAAAGCAAAATTGACCTGATGTACAGCATCAACCCAATAGGGAGAAACCTGCATGACTTGAAAACAGCCAAGACAGTTATGCAAAAGACAGATGTTGTATGAATGAAGGCTGTATCAATCTTTGTGAAGAAATCCAACCTGCATGTTATGATGGAAATCAACGTGCTGCATATGATCAATGTGCTCCAAGAGGCACTTTGTCCGACTATCTGCAAAATTGTCCTCCTGCCATCGACAGAAGTGAACAGATAGCCTACTGGGTTGAACGCTACTGTGAGCTGTACTCCCATGAGATGGTCATCCTCCAGTCTCCATTTAATGCTTTCCTGCAGCTTCCTATTGTGGTTAAGTTGGTTGAGGGAGCCTGCAGTTTGAAAAGGCCATTTGTTGCCTACTTAGCTGGAAACCAGCAGCAAAATAGACTTTACCTGAACTACTGAAGCACAGAAAATCGCACATTCTGCTGCAGCTTCATGAGCTCCTCCTCCTCCTCTCTTGGAAGATAAGATCCAGTCTACAGTACATGTAAGGTGCAAAGTTCATTACAATTTACAAAAACCAAGCTACCAGAGGAGATTGAAAAAGCAATAGTGACTTATACTCAGCATCACAGGGAAGGCCTTCATGAGGGTCATATTTAAAATAATCCATCTATTTGCAAACCAAGTGTATCCAGGAATACAGTGAGGTTTCTGTTTTGGCAGAAGAACAGTGGGCATGATCTTCTCCCGTATATCAGTTCCAAGGGAATTTACAAAGATGTTGCCAGGGTTGGAGGGTTTTAGTGGTAGCGAGAGGCTGAATAGGCTGGGGCTGTTTTCTCTGGTGCGTTGGAGGCTGAGGGGTGTATAGAGGTTTATAGAATCATGAGGGGCATGGATAGGGTGAATAGCCAAGGTCTTCTCCCTGGGGTGAGGGAGTCCAAAATTAGAGGACATAGGTTTAAGTGAGAGGGGCAAGATTTAAAAGGGACCTAAGGGGCAACTTTTTCACACAGAGGGTGGTGTGTACATTAAATGAGTGCCAGAAGAAATGGTGGAGGCTGGTACAATTACAACATTTAAAAATGCATCTGGAATGGTAAATGAATAGGAAAGGTTTAGAGGGATATAGGCTAAATGCTGGCAAATGGAATTAGCTTAATTTGGGATATCTTGTCGGCATGGACAAGTTGGACCGAAAGGTCTGTTTCCGTGCTGTATAGCTCTATGACTCTAAGAGAAGTCTTCAGAACACAGTATAACTGCATAACTTACTCTTATAGACCTCACTAAAGCATTTAATGTCATCAGCAGATCAGGACTGGACAGAATTTTGCAGAAAATTGGTTGTCCATCAAAGCTCGTCAGTATGATCCTCTCTTTTCATGACCACATGCCATATACTGTACAGTCTAACAGCATCACGTCCAACAATTTCAGGGTGAAGAATGGAGTGAAACTATCACCAACATCAGAATCAACAACTCACAACGATGACTGTTAACTATGAATAACAATAACAACCTTTCTCAGGGAGACAGAATAGGAAGGTGTGACAGTGGATGAGAACTGGGATCAGTGTGTTTGAAGTCCAGAATCGGGTCGTATTAAATCACTGCTCACAAACTTTATCCTAGTGTGACCCCCATTCTAACAGCTGTCTTTGTGTGACCCCAGAGAATGGTTTTAGGGCAAGTGGGCAGGGTATGAAGATTCCTGATGGAATGCGGAGGGTGAGGCAAACAGGTGTTATTAACAGCTGATTAATGTACTTGCACAGCAAATTACTTTAATGTAATATGATTCTGACTATATATGTAATAGGGCTCTGACTATTAACAGAAATATTTCCAATTGTATCTTTGTATTTGCATCCTAATTACTGAAGAGGCAAGTGATCACTAATACCACAGGAACTATGTAAATAATTAGATCATGATTAATGTAATAGAATTACATTTCTTAACGCAATTGTATAATTAGTATTAACATATCATGATGCTGTTTATTGATGCAAAATGATCCTGATTATTGAAGAAATTGACTCTCTACAACAAGAAATAAACACCTTCCTTTTCACATGCTTGTTTTGCAGTGGCAATTGAGCCTCAGTAAGCAGACCACTAGGATCCACCCATCAACAAAATAAACACCAGGATTTAAAGCGACTTTGAAGCTGTCACACATCAGTCTGAACTCCACAACAGTTATTGTTGTCTGGGAACTTCTAGCTCCGAAATCCTGCCTTTTAACCTCACAGAGGATCAACCCACACAGTTTTGGAAGCTGTGGTTTACATGGAGAGTATAAAAGGTGAATGGGTTTTTAAAACTCTTATCACTGTCTGAGCAATTGAATCCTTGCTCTCTCCAGTATGAGCTCACTGGTGTGTTTGAGAGGCTGGATGACCAAGTGAATTCCTTCCAACACACGGAACCTCTGCCCACTGTCCATATGGGGATGATGTTCCAGGTCAAATGGGGAACTGAATTTCTTCCCAGTGTCCACATGTCCACAGGTCTTCCCCAGTGTGACTGTGCTTGAGAAGAAGTGAGGGAGACAATGAGGATCATTGTGACCTCACTCACTGTAGGGGTCAGGCTTATTGTGACCTCACTCACTTTTCCCTCGCCCTTGCCTGTTTGACGAAAAGTCCAAATTCCTTTTGACAAGGTCCTCCACCTCCATTCCTCTCCTCTGCCACATACACAATATCCCAGCTCTATTCCTTTAATAAAATTATTCGGTGCTGTTTCAAACAGCAGGGCTATTCTCCTCAGAGTTGGAATCAGCACCACTAAAAGACTATCGGGGCACTATCATGTTGCTGTCTGTGATCCTGCTGTGCAAAAAGTGTATTGCCACATTTTCTACATTGCAATATTGCCTGAAAATTGGTTTGGGAGCTCCTGAAGTCAAAAGATGTCCTCCGGAAATACAAATCTTAATTTAACAGAGAAGGAAAAGTCCAGAAACAGAACAATTGAGAAGAGAATGTTAATTAATCTCATCTTGATGAAAAAAATACAAATACTCCACACAGTGTATTTGACAGAAAACTGATTTATTTGATACTTATCCTTACAAATCAGCAGAAACAACCTCCAGTTGACAGAATGAACATGGTCCAGTCCTGGATATGATTAACAGCAGAATCCAAACTTTGAGGGAAACGTTTTTCACCTGGAGGGTGGTGGCTTTCTGGAATTCACTGCCCAGTTTGAGGCAGAAGCTCTTGTTTAAAAGGAGATAGTAGGAACTGCAGATGCTGGAAAATCTGAGATAACAAGGTGTGGAGCTGGATGAACACAGCAGGCCAAGCAGCATCATAGGAGCAGGAAGGCTGACGTTTCGGGCCTAGACCCTTCATCAGAAAAATGGTAAAGATGAGGTGTTGGGGACCGGGGAATTGGAAGCTTTGGAGGAGGTGGAGGGCGTGGGTGGTGTCACAGACGTAGGTAGGGAGGTCCTGGACCAAGGGGGAGAAAATGGAGTTGAGATAGGTGGAAATAAGTTCGGTGCGGCAGGAGCAGGTGGAGACAATGGGATGACCAGGGCAGTCAGGTTTGTGGATTTTGGGAAGGAGATAGAAGTGGGCAGTGCGGGGTTGGGGAACGATGAGGTTGGAGGCCATGGGTGGGAGGTCACCTGAGGTGAGGAGGTTGTGGATGGTTTGGGAGATGATGGTTTGGTGCTCGGGGGTGGGGTCATGATCGAGGGGGCGGTAGGAGGTGGTGTCGGAGAGTTGGCGTCTGGCCTCGGCGATGTAGAGGTCAGTGCGCCATACTACAACTGCGCCTCCCTTGTCCGTGGGTTTTATGGTGGGGTTGGGATTGGAGCAGAGGGAGCGGAGGGCTGCACATTCCGCGGGGGAGAGGTTGGAGTGAGTGAGAGGGGTGGACTGGTTGAGGCGATTGATGTCTCGACGGCAATTGGAGATGAAGAGGTCGAGGGAAGGTAGGAGGCCTTGGGGTGGTGTCCAGGAGGCGGGGATGTGTTGGTGGCGGGAGAAGGGGTCAGTAGAGGGAGGGTTAGGCTCACAGTTAAAGAAGTAAGCATGGAGGTGGAGGCGGTGGAAAAACTGCTCAATGTCCAAACATAAGCGGTATTCGTTGATGTGTAGGTGGAGGGGAACAAAGGTGAGCCCTTTACTGAGGACTGACTGTTCGTCATCAGTAAGGGGGAGGTCTGGGGGGATGGTGAAGACTCGGCAGGGCTGAGTGTTGCTGTCTCCTCTAGCAGGGCTGAGTGTTGCTGGTGAAGGGTCTAGGCCCGAAACGTCAGCCTTCCTGCTCCTATGCTGCTGCTTGGCCTGCTGTGTTCATCCAGCTCTACAGTTGTTATCTTGTTTAAAAGGATCCTGGATCTGCTCCTGAAGCACTGGAACCTGCAAGGATGTGGATCACAACCTCACAATTGGGATTAGAAAGTGGTTGGGGAGACAATAGTTTTTTTCAGATGGTGTAGACTGCCATCACATGAATGCCCTCTTTCTGTGCTGTGACCTTCCTTATGTTCTACTTTCATACCAACCCCTGCAGTCGCTTCTAAACTCGCCGGCATCTCAAATGGTGGGAGCAATTCGTGAATCTCTTCCAACACAAGGAGCAAGTGAAAGGCCTTTTCCCAGTGTGAACTTGCTGGTGTCTCAACAAATGGAAAGATGGAGTGAAAACCACAGAGAGAACAGGAGAATGGTCTCTCCTCAGAGTGAACTCACTGGTGTATCAGCAGAATCGATGAATTAGTCACTGCCTTTCCAAACTGAGCAACTGAACAGTATCTCTCCCCGGAGTGAAGACGTTGGTGTGTTAGCATGTCTGGTTTCATTTTCAAGATCTTCCCACAGTCAGAACATGTATAAGGTTTGTTATCAGAATTAACGTGTTGGTGTGTCTGAAAGCAGAATAACCCAGTAACCCACGATTTCTGCAGAAGGGTTTAGGCCCGAAACGTCAGCCTTCCTGCTCCTCTGATGCTGCTTGGCCTGCTGTGTTCATCCAGCTCTACACCTTGTTAACCCAGTAAGTCTTTCCCACACATGAAGCAGATGAACAGCCTCTCCCCTGTGTAACTGCGGTGATGAGTTTCCAGATGGGATGGGGATCTGAATCCCTTCTTGCAGTCCCCACATTTTGATGGTTTCACGTTGTGTCTCTGCAGGTTGGATAATCAGTCAAAGCCCTGTCCATGCATGGAACACATGGATGTTCATTCTCTCGACTGTGAAATCTGTGACTATTTTTGGCTTTCTAACTAGTTAAAGCACTTTGTGAAAAATTCACTGGAAAACGCTCATTCGGGGTGTGTCACTCAGTGCTTTTCCAGTAACACTCATGTTTCAAATATTTTCTCACAGAGCTGACAAATGTTTCTCTTTCCACATTCGAAGGTCAATGCTTTCAAGTGCTGCTGAATTACGTTACTCTGTCAAATTGTCATGCAATCCTTGCTTTGAATGCAAATTTTTATCATTTAATATCCTGTAAAATAGAGTTTACAATAAACCGTCATGATCAGTCCAGAATAAAGAGTCAGAAGAATTTTTTTAAAAATCACTAATTTGAATTTGCTGCATACATATTCCACCATTCACACCCTCGGTAAAAGGAGTTTCCAAAATCCACCCCCGTCTGTTCAGTGCAGAAATACACAACATTCTCTCTAAACTAATTCCTTTTCCTCAATGAGATTTTCAAAACTTGAATTTAATGCCAGTTTTTCATTTCATCCCCTGAGCCTCTGACCTCCATCCTGAAACCCCAGTGTGGTCTTCCTCCATCTCCCTTCATGTCATCTGCAGAGAACCTCTTCCAAGATAACTTATTTCTCCTGTCTGATGTAAACCAGCCACACAGTCATCAACACCAATCTCTTCCTGTCGGATATAAACCAGCCCCACCAGTCACTGACAAAAATCTTCTCCTGTCTGATGTAACCCTGTTCCGCAGTCTCTGACACTAACATGCTCCTGTCCGATGTAAACTTGACCATATTAACTAACACTAACCTCCTCCCGTCTGATATAAACCAGATCCACAATCAGTGACACCATTCTCCTCCAGTTCATATAAACTAGCCCCACAGTCACTGGAAAACCATCTCCTCCTGTCTGAAATATTCCAACATCACAGTCACAGAAAACAATCTACTCCTGTCTGATAAATAACAACCTCACAGTCACTGACACCAATCTTTGTCTGTCTGACATGAACCAACCTCACCATCACTCACACGAATCTACTCCTGTCTCATATAAACCAGGCCCACAGTCACTGTCACCACTCTGCTCCTGTCCAATATAAGCTAACCCCAAACTCACGGAGACCAATTTCCTTCTGATATAAACCACTCACACAGTCACTCATACAAATCTCCTCCTGTCTGATGTAAAACTGCTCCACGGTTACTGACACCAAGGTCATCCTGTGTGATGTAAACCAGCCCCAAAGTCACAGACATCATTCTCCTCTAGTCTGATAATAAACCAGCCCCAGAATCACTGTCATCAATCTACTCATGTCTGATATAAACACAGCCACAGTCACTGGGAACAATATCATCGTGTCTGATATAAACCAGCCCCAGACTCACTGACAACAATCTCTTCCAGTGCATATAAACCAGCCCACAGTCACTGTGAAAAATCTCCTCCTGTCTGAAATAATCCAACATCACAGTCACAGACAACAATCTCTTCCTGGTTGATATAAACTAGCTCCATGCTTACTGACTCCAATCTCTGTCTGTCTGATATAAGACTTGCACAGTCAATCACACGAATCTCCTCCTGTGTTGTACAAATCAGCCCCACAGTCACTGTTACCAATTTCATCCAAGACAACAAGGTGCAGAGCTGGATGAACACAGCAGGCCAAGCAGCATCATAGGAGCAGAAAGGCTGACGTTTCGGGCCTAGACCCTTCATCAGAAATGGGGGAGGGGAAGGGGGCTCTGAAATAAATAGGGAGAGAGGGGGAGGCGGATAGAAGATGTATAGAGGAGAGGATTGGTGGAGACGAAACAGACAGGTCAAAGAGGCGGGGATGGAGCCAGTAAAGGTGAGTGTAGGTGGGGAGTTAGGGAGGGGATAGGTCAGTCCAGGGAGGACGGACAGGTCAAGGGGGCGGGATGAGGTTAGTAGGTAGGAGATGGGGGTGCGGTTCGAGGTGGGAGGAGGGGATAGGTGGGAGGAAGAACAGGTTAGGGAGGTGGGGACGAGCTGGACTGGTTTTGGGATGCGGTAGGGGGAGGGGAGATTTTGAAGCTTGTGAAATCCCCGCAATAAGAACCAAAAAAGAATCCCCCTCGTCCTCACGTACCACCCCACCAACCTCCGGATCAAATAAACAACGCATCATCCTCCGACACTTCCGCCATCTGCAATCCGACCCCACCACCAAAGACATCTTTCCCTCCCCACCCTTATCTGCTTTCCGGAGGGACCACTCTCTCCGTGACTCCCTTGTCCGCTCCACACTCCCCTCCAGCCCCACCACACCCGGCACTTTTCCCTGCAACCGCAGGAAGCGCTACACCTGCCCCCATACCTCCTCCCTCACCCCCATCCCAGGCCCCAAGAAGACTTTCCACATCAAGCAGATGTTCACCTGCACATCTGCCAATGTGGTATACTGCATCCGCTGTACCCGTCGTGGCCTCCTCTACATCGGGGAAACCAAGTAGAGGCTCGGGGACCGCTTTGCAGAACACCTACGCTCGGTTCGCAATAAACAATTGCACCTCCCAGTCGCAAACCATTTCAACTCCCTCTCCCATTCCTCAGACGACATGTCCATCCTGGGCCTCCTGCAGTGCCACAACGATGCCACCCGAAGATTGCAGGAACAGCAACTCATATTCTGCTTGGGAACCCTGCAGCCCAATGGTATCAATGTGGATTTCACAAGCTTCAAAATCTCCCCTCCCACTACCGCATCCCAAAACCAGTCCAGCTCATCCCCGCCTCCCTAACCTGTTCTTCCTCCCACCTATCCCCTCCTCCCACCTCGAACGGCATCCCCAACTCCTACCTACTAACCTCATCCCGCCCCCTTGACCTGTCCGTCCTCCCTGGACTGACCTATCCCCTCCCTAACTCCCCACCTACACTCACCTTTACTGGCTCCATCCCTGCCTCTTCGACCTGTCTGTTTCCTCTCCACCTGTCCTCTCCTCTATCCATCTTCTATCCGCCTCCCCCTCTCTCCTTATTTATTTCAGAACCCCCTTCCCCTCCCCCATTTCTGATGAAGGGTCTCGGCCCGAAACGTCAGCCTTTCTGCTCCTATGATGCTGCTTGGCCTGCTGTGTTCATCCAGCTCTGCACCTTGTTGTCTCAGATTCTCCAGCATCTGTAGTTCCTACTATCTCTGAACCAATTTCATCTTGTCTGATATAAACCAACCTCACTGTCACGCACACGGATCTCCTCCTGTCGGATGTAAATCTGCTCCACAGTTACTGACACCAATGTCGTCCCGTCTGATATAAACAACCTTCACAGTTACTGACAAAAATATCCCCCTGCCTGATCAAAACCAGACCCACAGTCACAGAGACCAACATCATCCTGTCTGATGTAAACCACCTTCGCGCTCACTGGCACAAATCTCTTCCAATCCATATAAACCCGCCACACAGTCATTGTCAAAAATCTCCTCCTGTCTGAAATAATCCAACATCACATTCACAGGCACCAGTCTCCTCCTGTCTGATATATTATAACCTTACAGTCCCTGACACCAATCTCCTCCTATCTCATATAAACCAAACTCACCATCATTCACACCAATCTCCTCCTGTCTGTTATAAACTAAACCCACTTTCACTGACACCAATCTCCTCCAGTTTATATAAATCAGTTCCACAGTCACTGAAATCAAGCTCCGCTTGTCTGATAATAAACCAGGCCCCAAAGTCACTGAAAACAATCTCCACTTGGCTGATTTAAACAACCCTCAACCACTCACATGAATCACCTACTGTCTGATATAAACCAAACTCACCAGCACTGACACCAATCACTTTCTGACATTAGAAACTAGACCCACATTCACTAACAGACATCTTGTCCTCTGATATGAACTAGCTCCACAGTCAATGATACAAATCACCTCCTGTCTGATATAAACCAGACCCACAGTGAGTCACACCATTCTCCTCCAGTTCAGATAAACTAGCCCCACAGTCACTGTAAAAATTCTCCTCTGGTCTGAAACAATCCAACATCACAATCACAGACAACAATCTATTCCTGATTGATAAATAATAACCTCACAGTCATTGACACCAATTGCCTCCTGTCTGATATAAACCACCCTCACAGTCACACATGAATCTCCTCCTGTCTGATGTAAACCTATCCATATTTAATGACACCAGTGTTGTCCTGCCTGATATAAACAACCTTCACAGTTCTAACAAAAATATCCACCTGTCTGATCAAAACCAGTCCCACAGTCATTGAGACCAATATCGTCCTGTCTGTTATAAACCACCCTCACACTCACTTACACAAATCTCTTCCAATCCATATAAACCCGCCACACAGTCATTGTCAAAAATCTCCTCCTGTCTGAAATAATTCAACATCAAATTCACAGACAACAATCTCCTCCTGTCTGATATATTAAAAACTTTACAGTCTCTGACACCAATCTCCTCCTGTCTCATATAAACCAAACTCACCATCACTCACACCAATCTCCTCCTGTTTGATATAAACCAGGTCCACAGTCACTGTCACAAACGTTCTCCTACCTGATGTAAACCAGTGCAGTCACTGAGACTATTATTGTCCTGTCTAATATAAACCACCCTCACAGTTGCTCACCTGAGTCTCCTCTTGTTTGATGTAAAGCAGGCCTACATTCACTGTCACTCTTTCATCCTGCCTGATATAAACCATCCTTTTCATAACTCTCACGAATCACCAAATGTCTGATGTAACCTGCTCCACAGTTACTGACACCAATGTTGTCCTATCTGATATAAACAACCCTTGCAGTTACTGACAAAAATCTCCACCTGTCTGATCAAAACGAGCCCTACAGTCACTTAGAACAATATTGTCCTGTCTGATGTAAATCACCATCACAGTCACTCACACGAATCTCCTCCTGTCTGACACAAAGCAGCCCCACACTCACTGACAATAATCTCCTGCAAATCATACAAACCAGCCACAGTCACTGTCAAACATCTCCTCCTGACTGAAATAATCCAACATCACATTCACAGACAACAATCTCATCCGGTCTTATAAATAAAAACCTCACAGTCACTGACACCAATCTTCCGCTGTCTGGTATAATCCAGACCCACAAACTGTGACACCATACTCCTCCAATTCGTATAACATAGCCCAAAAGTCACTGTTAAAAAAAATCCTCCTGTCTGAAATAATCCAAAATCACAGTCACAGACAACAAGCTACTCCTGTCTGACATAAAAAAAACTCACTGTCACTGATACCTACCTCCTCCTGTCTGTTATAAACCAGACCCACATTCACTGACACCAGTCTCCACCAGTTCATATGAAACACACCCACAGTCACTGTCAAAAATCTCCACCTTACTGATATAAACTAGCTCCATAGTCATGACATCAATCTCCTCCTGTCTGACATAAAACAGTCCCACACTCACTGATACCAATGACCACCTCTCTTTTGTAAAGGAGACTCACAGTCACTGACACAAATCTCCCCCTATCTGATAAGAATCAGACCCAGAGTCAGTGACACCATTTTCCTCCAGTTCATATAAACTAGCCCCACAGTCACTGTAAAAAGATCTCCTCCTGTCTGAAATAATTCAACATCACAGTCATAGACAACAATCTACTCCTGTCTTGTATAAACAACCTCACATGAATCTCCTCCTGTCTTACGTTACCCACACCCACACACATTGACACCTATCCCCTCCTCACAGATATAGGCCATGCCCACAGTCACAGACACCTGTCTCCTGCTGTCTGATATCAATAAGACCTACAATCACTTACACAAATCTCCTCCTGTCTCATAGAAAACAGCTTCACACTCACTGACATGAATCTCCTGTTCTCTCATAGAAAACAGCCCCACACTCACTGACATGAATCTCCTGTTGTCTGATCTAAACCAGTTCCACAGTCACTAACACCAACTGCTGCTGGTCAGGTATAAACCAGCTCCACACACTGCCATGTATAAACCAGCATCACATTCACTATCACCGATCTCCTCCAATTCATGTAAAGCAGTCCCACAGTCACTGTCAAAAATCTTCTCCTGTCTGAAACAATCCAACATCATAGTCACACTGACACCAATCTTTTCCTGTCAGATGTAAACAAGCCCCACAGATAATGGCAGCAATCTCCTCCTGTCTGATAATAAACCAGGCCCCACAGTCAGTGAAACCATTCTCCTCCAGTTCACATAAACTAGCTCCACAGTCACTGTAAAAAACCTCCTCCTGTCTGAAATAATCTAACATCATAGTCACAGATGACAATCTCCTCCTGTCTGGTAAAACCCAGGGCGATAGGCACTGTCACAAATCTGCTCCTGTCAGATACAAACCAGCTCCAAAGTCACTGACACCAATCAGTCTGTCTGATAAAAACCACCCTCACGGTCACTCACCTGAGTCTCCACTTGTTTGATATAAACAACCCTCACAGATACTGACAAAAATATCCACCTGTCTGATCAAAACCAGCTTCACAATATCATCCTATCTGACAGAAACAACCCTTATAGTCACTCACACAAATCTCCTCCTGTCTGATATGAACCAGACCCACACACACTGACACTAATCCCCACCTCTCAAACGTAGACCATGGCCACAGTCACAAACACGTATCTCTTGCTATCTGATATTAATAAGCCCTACACTCATGCAAATCTCCTCCTGTCTCAGACAAAACAGTCCCACAGCCATGGACGCAAATCTCCGCCTTTCTGATCTACATCAGCTCCAAAGTCACTGTTGACAATCTCTTCCTGTCTGATGTAAACCAGTCTCAGTCACCAACACCAATGGCTTCCCGTCTGATATAAACCAAACTCACTGACACAGACACCAATCTCCTCCTTTCTGTCATAAACCAGATCCACATTCACTAACACCAATCTCCTCCAGTTCATATAAACCAGCCCCGTAGCCATTGTCAAAAATCTCCACTGTCTGATATAAACCAGCACACACAGTCACAAGACCAATCTCCTCTTATCTGATATAAAGCAGCCCCACATTCACAGAAAACAATCTCCTCCTCTCTTCTTTAAAAAGGACCCACAGTCACTGACACAATTCGCCTCCTATCTGATACAAACTAGACGCAAAGTCGGTGATGCCATTCTCCTCCAGTTCATATAAACTACCTCCACAGTCACTGTTAAAAATCCCCTCCTGTCTGAAATAATCCAACATCACAGTCAGTGACACCAATCGCCTGCTGGTTGATATAGACCAACTGTATGATCACTGACACCAATCTCTGTCTGTCTGATATAAACCACCCTCACAGACACTCATACGAATCTCCTCCTGTCAGATGTAAACCTGCTCAACAGTTACTGACCAATGTCATCTAGTCTGATACAAACAACCCTCACAGTTACTGACAAAAATATTCACTATCTGATCAAAACCAGCCCCAAAGTCACTGCGACCAATATCGCTCTGTCAGATAATAAACCACTCTCACAGGCACTCCCACAAACATCTTCCTGACTGACATAAACCAACCCCACACTCACTGACACCAATCTCCTCCAATTCAGATAAACCAGCAGCACGATCACTGTCAAAAATCTCCATCTGTCTGAAATAATCCAACATCATATTCACAGACAACAATCTTCTCCTGTCTGATAAATAACAACCTCATAGTCAATGACACGAGTTGCCTCCTGTCTGATATAAACTAGCACCACAGTCGCTGACACCAACTCCTCTAGATGATATAAACCACCCTCACAGTCACTCACATAATTTTCCCGTCAGATGTAAGCTTGCTCTACAGTAACTGAGAGCAATGTTGTCCTGTCTGCTATAAACCTCCCTCACAGTCTCTCACACAAATCTCCTCCTGTCTGACATAAAACACCACCATAATCATTGGCACCGATGTCCCCTAAATCATATAAACCAGCCCCACAGTCACTGTCAAAAATTTCCTCCTGTCTGAAATAATCCAACATCACACTCAACAATATTCTCCTGTGCGATATATAAAAACCTCACAGCCTGACACCAATCCTCTGCTATCTGATATAAACTAGCCCCAAAGTTATTGACATTAATCTCCTACTGTCTGGTTTAAAGCAGACACAAAGTCACTGACACAAATCTTCGCCTGACTGACATAAACCAGACCCACAATCTGTAACACAGATCTCTTCTTGTCTGATATAAAGCAACTCTCAGTCGCAGGTACCAATCTCCTGTCTGATGTAAACCAGCTCCAAAGTCACTGCTACCAATGTCAGCCTACCTGATATAAATCAGCTGCACATTCACTGAACCCAATCTCCTCCTGTCTAACATAATCCAGCTCCACATCAGCTCTGATGAAGTGTCATGGAGACTCAAAATGTTTCCTCCCTGCCCCTTCATGGATGCTGCCTGACCGGCTATGATCTTCAGCAATTTTGTTTTCAGGAGTAAATTGGTGTCAGTGACTGTGAGGCTGGTTTATATCATACAGTAGGACAATGGCGTCAGTGACTGGGAGGATCAAGCAAGCTTCAAGTCTCGATGACTGTTCATCAGAGCTCAAGATCGATCACGAACCAGCCTCACAGTCATTGTCAAAAATCTCCTCCTTTCTGAAATAATCCAACAACACATTCACTGACACCAATATCCTCCTGTCTGATATAAACCAGCCCCACTTCAGCTCTGATGAAGTCATGTTGATTTGAAATGTAAGCTTGCTGTCTCTCCAGGGATGCTGCCTGACCCACTGTGATCTTCAGCATTTTTTGTTTTCAAGTGCAGACTAGTGTCACAGACTGTGGGACCAGTTTATATGAGATAAGAGGAGATTGGTGTCAGTGACTGAGAGGGTGATGCAAACTTTGAATCCGTACGACTCTTCATCAGAGCTCAAGATTGCTCTTACCAATCTGCTCCTGTCTGATAGAAACCAGCCCACAGTCACTGACACCAATCTACTGCTGTCTGATATAAACCAGGCCTGCAGTCACCGAAACCAATCTCCTCCAGTTCATATAAATTAGCCCCACAGTCATAGGAGAGTTTTGTCAATCTCCTATCTGAAATAATCCAATATCACAGACAACATTCACCTCCTGTCAGATATGTAAAAACCTCACAGTCACTGAGACTAACCTCCTCTTGTCAGAAAAAATCCAGCCACACAGTCACTGACACCTCTCTCCTCCTGTCTGATATAAACCAGCCCCACAGTCGTTATCTGAAATAATCCAACATCACAATCATAAACACCAATCTCCTTCTGTCTGATATAGGATAAAACCGCAGTCATTGTCGCCAATTGCCCCTTGACTGTTAAAAACCAGCATCACAATTACTGACCCCAATATCCTCCTGTCTGATATAAACCAGTCCACAGTCCGAGACATCAATCTCCTTCTGTCTGCTAGAAACCAGCCCCACAGTCACTGCCACCTGATATAATCCAGCCCTATAGTCACAGTGAAAAATCTCCTCCTGTCTGATAGAACCTAAACCCACAGTGACTGACAGGAATATCCTCTTGTCTAATATAAACCCACTCCACAGTCACTAAAACCCATCTCCTCTTGTCTGATATTAAGCAGACCCAAACTCAAACTACTCTCTTCCAGTTCATATAAACCTGCCCCACAGTCACTGACGCCAATCTCCTACTGTCTGATATAAACCAGTCAATAATCTCATTCACTAAACTCCTCCAGTCCAATGTAAACCTTGATTCCCATTCCTGTTCTTCCTTGTGTTAATGGAGGACCCTTTGTGTGGAATGTGCAAGTCAGTAAGCATTGTCAGCAAACATTCATTAACACTTTCCAATTGGAGATGTTAATTAGCAGAACCGTTTGAACATCAAATTTCAAATTTTACTGGGGATCAACATAGGTTTGAAGCAGAAGATTAATATTAGTTGCAAACTCATTTCTGGTGAGATTTTCGGAATTCGGGGATACTATCACATACAGCATGCTGAGAAAGGGGCACTGTACCCCTCAGAAAACAAAGAATCTTCAACTCAATTCTAATCCAGTCATATGGTGAGTAACATCAACAGAAACAAACCCTAACTATCATAGCATACCTGATTCAGTCCTGAATGTGAAAAACAGCAGAAATGATGGCATATTCCAAACTCTTCAGTCATGTGTGAACTTGCTGGTGCGTCAGCAGGTGGGCAAGCTGACTAAATCTCCTTGCACAGATTGAACAGGTGAATGGTCGCTCCCCAGTGTGAATCCGCTGGTGTGTCAGAAGGTTGGATGAAGTTGTGAACCTTTTTTGACACACAGAGCAGACAAATGGCCTCTCCCCAGTGTGAACTCGATGGTGTGTCAGGAGGTTGGATGAATTAGTAAATCCTTTCTCACACACAGAACAGGTGAATGGTCTCTCCCCAGTGTGAACTCGCTGATGGGTCAGTAGCTGGGACATTTGAGTAAATCCCCTCCCACAATTGGAGCAGGTGAATGGCTTCTCCCCAGTGTGAACTCGCTGGTGTACCAGTAGCTCAGATGACTGAGTGAATCTTTTCCCACAGACACAACACATGAATGGTCTCTCGCCTGTGTGAAATCGCTGGTGCCTCAGCAGAGTTGTTGACTGAGTGAATCCTTTTCCACACTGGGAGCAGGTAAACGGCTTCTCTCCAGTGTGACTCCGCCGATGAATTTCCAGCAAGGATGGATATTTAAATGCCTTTCCACAATCTCTACATTTACATGGTTTCCCTGTGGTGCTGGCATGGTTGTCTGTCTCCAGGTTTGATGACTAGTTCAAGCCTTACCCTTACACAAAGCACAGCCACAGGATGATGGGAATCTGAAACTCACTGTCTGAAGGGGTGATAGAAGCAGAAATATTTAAGATGCATTTAGATGTACACTTGCGATGCCAAGGCATACAAGGATATGGGGTAATTGCTGGAAATTGGGATTAGATAATTAGATAGCTGTTTTTGAGTAGGCCAGACTCTGTGCCGTGGTCTCTATAACTCACGTATAGGTTCCCTCTTTTGTGAAGAGTGCTGCGCTTTTTATAGGCTGTGCATCTGATTGTAACATTTCTTCTTCCACGTTAAAAGACAGATAACATCCAGTTCCTGATTAAAGGAGTGTTGTGTGAGATCTTGAATAATATTTAGTTTAAGTTTGCTCTCTGCAGTTCTCTACCGATCCCCTGTAAAAGGAGTTTATAAAAGTCATCACTGTCAGTACAGGGTAGAAATTCAGACAATTCCAATTTCTATGAATTATCATACCTCTCTCGGTCCCCTCCAGAACTGTGAATCCTTCTCCCTCTTGTCTGCGCTCAGACGCACATCCATCTCCCCATGTCCACTGTCTCTGATGCTGGGAATAGAAGCCTCTCGCACTCCCCGCCCAGTTACCAAGCTAACAGCGCATGCGCACTGCTCCACAAACGATGGCAACTCTAACAGGGCGTGGTCCCGAGAATCAGACACCGCGCTACATTCATATTCGGTGACCGGGACGTCCAACAGGTATTAATAGGACCTCCCCGCTCACCCGGCGGCTCCCTCATTCCTCCCGGTACCCCAGCCTCGTTCACTGGCGGCTGCAAAAGAAGAAGCTTCTCGCCATCAGTCATCCTGCGCATGCTCCAAAGTGTTCAGGACAGCGCCTGCGCACTGGTCTGTTCTAGAAAGGGAGCCTTCTCCACCACGGGGAATGCTGGGCTAAAGGGCCGCCATTCACTGTTATCATCAAGTATAATTATTGATTTCCTTGGCTGGGAGAGATGGAGTCAGTAGACTTTTGAAATACTTTCATTTAAAGCATTCGTACTACGTTTTTGTTCCATGGCTTTGGGGCTAATGTGGCTCCCTTACTACAGATCAGAATCCATGTCCATCCACGGCTCTGTTACATTGCTGTCCTTCCCGGTAACCTCTTTCCCTTTGTATAACTTTCTGTACTCTAATAATGCGTACTTCAACCAGCTTTACTAATTTTGTTCCCGTCCAACTGAAATTTCCACACTTGCAGATGCACAGCAATGTGTCGCTGATTTACCAGCTTTTATGATATAGTAGGAACTGCAGATGCTGAAGAATCTGAGATAACAAGGTGTAGAGCTGGATGAACACAGCAGGCCAAGCAGCATCAGAGGAGCA